TGAACCAAAATATCTTTCATTTTTTGTTGTCTAAATGAAAAATCACATTTTCCGTTAAAAGTTTCCAAATCAAAATTGTGCGTTGTCATTTTAATAATCAATAAAAAATATAAGGTCACAATTAGGCCACACAAATAGACATAGGTTCACAAATATACACCGTTTTAGATTCTCATGGTTTCGTAAGATTCACGATCTTAGATCAATGGAATTTTTAAATGGGAAATGCCTATGTATTCTAATAACTTAACAGTGCAAGATATATGTTACTATATAGTTTTACTTATGATATATCACAAGAGATAATATGCTGCAATTTATCAAATGAACAATTTCAATCACGTAGTAACGAAGAGCAAGTAATTCCTAATTTCTAGCACAGGCAATGGTTATCCCATACAGTAACCCCAATCCTATGTCACCCCAGACAATGACGCATTAGTGCTGAAATTTAAACGGGATTAGCCAATTTACCAGAACGGACCTGTCTGAGTCCATAAATTACGAGATATGCGAATTTACTGCTTTAGGAACGCGATTTTTGGCCTAAAGTAATTCAGTAAATGTATGGCAGTTTCGACCGTCAACCCACTGAGGGCAAAATCGTCCAACTTTTCCCCCCGATTTTTTGGCTTACTCTCTTGAATTCACAATCTCTNNNNTTACTCTCTTGAATTCACAATCTCTACTTCTATTTTGCTTGTTCAATTATGTAATGACTTGCTTATAATTATTTTTGGAACGAAAATGATTTATTTAGTTTCTTGCTAAATTTTCAATTATCTGACTAAAGAACTGTTGTGTTACGACATTTGATAAAATTAAAAAAGATTTAAAACTATTCTTTCATAACTATTGAGGGTAATATTTCTTAAGCCTTTGACGCCATTTGTTGTATAGATTACGTATATTTGGTATCATTATATATTGATAATGATAATTTAATTATTGTGAAGAAACTATTTATTGTTAAACATATTGCATTGAATGAACCTGCTACTCATGTTGCACAACTTACTACCCAAAGTATTATTAATGGAATTCAATTTAATTTTTTCACATAGATTTTGACTGTAAGAACTTTAATTCATTTTAGAAACGAGATAACTATTTTTTTAAATTAATTTTGAAATAAAGTTATTTTGACCGTTGATGAATGGAAAAATATATATTTGTGTTCTATGCAATGTAAATCTCCTTTTTACAATTTAAATTCTGTTATATTCTCAGTGTTAATTATTTCAACGTTCTTATCATGAGTGAAGATTCTCCATTATCTCAATCTCCCAAGTATGCATCGCGATGGAAATACATTAAAACATATTTTTTTATTGGGTGGTAATTTTTTTTTTTTTACTAATTGTAGTGCTCTTTTCTTGTCTCAAATTGTATGGGGTTGGACATTGCTTTCACTTCAAAAAAAATTTATATTTACCTCGAGAATAAATTATAGAATTTTGTAATATGTACTCTAGATCGAAATACATAGATTTAAACTTTTTGAGTTCGAAATATATGAAATCAATATACTATTGAGTACCAAAATAGGATGAGACATTAGTAAGTCGACTTCTTCAATGTACTTCAATGGTGAAATGCACAATGGTATTAATATCCGGTATTTTCCATGATAGCCCTAGACATGTTCACAACACCCGTGACTTTATCAGTACCTACAGACTTAAGGTCTATCAAGGGAGGAGACATATGTTAGTGCATTACGTGACAGAGACAACATCACAAGCTGATTAGTACATATTTGTATGCTTCAATTGCTTTGAGAAGACGAAGGTGGCCTTCCGACATCTCTTCAGATGTGAAATTGCAGACTACTAAGGTAGAACTTTAAAAATATTTCGTTTCTTTAATCGTTATTATATTATACCTATTTCGTTTGTTTATTTCAAAAAAATTGTACACGAAATATTTATTCGTGTGCAATTCTTAAAAAAATTGTTCTTCATAGGATCAAATCGAATCATGTCAAGTCTATAGTTTATTTTATCTAAGAGTTGAGATATTTTCTTCTTATTTTCCTAACCTCTTAGCTATCCTCTCGGTAATTTTTTTTACGCATCCTTCCAATGAACAGTGTGAGCTAATAGCAAAATGACATTTAAAAAGCACTAAATATAATGTGTCGAATATTTTTCCCCTTAGCTGTCTTCCAAATATTTTTGACAACTCCACTCATCAACCACTCTTCTCAAATGGAAAGAAGCTGTTAAAAAATGTGCTTGTATCTTCCCATTTGTTAACAAA